AAGTAGGAGCATTGCCAGCAGATCGAGGGGCGTGATCATTCCCATCTATTCGACATTGGTGAGGCCTCATCTGGAATACTGTGTCCAGTTTTGGGCCCCACACTACAAGAAGGATGTGGAAAAATTGGAAAGAGTCCAGCGAAGGGCAACAAAAATGATTAGGGGGCTGGAGCACATGACTTATGAGGAGAGGCTGAGGGAACTGGGATTGTTTAGTCTGCAGAAGAGAAGAATGAGGGGGGATTTGATAGCTGCTTTCAACTACCTGAAAGGGGGTTCCAAAGAGGATGGATCTAGACTGTTCTCAGTGGTGGCAGATGACAGAACAAGGAGTAATGGTCTCAAGTTGCAGTAGGGGAGGTCTAGGTTGGATATTAGGAAACACTTTTTTACTAGAAGGGTGGTGAAGCACTGGAATGGGTTACCTAGGGAGGTGGTGGAATCTCCTTCCTTATAGGTTTTTAAGGTCAGGCTTGACAAAGCCCTGACTGGGATGATTTAGTTGGGAATCGGTCCTGCTTTGAGCAGGGGGTTGGACTAGATGACCTCCTGAGGTCCCTTCCAACCCTGATATTCTATGATTCTATGATCCATTCCCTGTCGCCCATTCCCAGCTTCTGGCAAACAGGCCAGGGACACCATCCCTGCCCATCCTGGTTAATAGCCATTGATGGACCTATCCTCCATGAACTTATCTAGTTCTTTCTTGAACCCTGTTATAGTCTTGGCCTTCACAACATCCTCTGGCAAGGAGTTCCACCGGTTGCCTGTACGTTGTGTGAAAAAATACTTCCTTTTGTTTATTTTAAACCTGCTGCCTATTCATTTCATTTGGTGACCCCTAGTGCTTGTGTTATGTGACAGGATAAATAACACTTCCCTATTCACTTTCTCCACACCAGCCATGATTGTACAGACCCCTGTCATATCCCCCCTCGGTTGTCCCTTTTCCAGCTGAGCAGCCCGGTCTGTTCACTCTCTCCGCAGAGGAAAGCTGGTCCATCCCCCCCACTTGGTTGTTGCCCGTCTCTGCCCCGGTTGCGGTTCTGACACACACGTGCCCTGCGCCCAGGAGTCAGGTCTGGGGCGCGTCCTGCAGATGGAGGGGCCGGGGAGTGGGCTCCAGACCCAGGGGCCCCGGGGGGTGGGCTGCAGACGGAGGGGCCGGGGAGGGGGCTGCAGACAGCGGGGCCGGGGCGCGTCCTGCAGACGGAGGGGCTGGGGCGCGGGCTGCAGATGGGGGGGGCGGGGAGTGGGCTGCAGACCCAGGGCCCGGGGCGCATCCTGCAGACCCAGGGCCCGGGGAGGGGGCTGCAGACCCAGGGGCCCCGTGGAGCGGGCTGCAGACAGGGGGGCCGGGGAGGGGGCAGGAGACGGAGGGGCCGGGGGCGCATCCTGCAGACGGAGGGGCCGGGGAGCGGGCTGCAGATAGGGGGGCTGGGGAGGGGGCTGCAGACCCAGGGGCCCCGGGGAGCGGGCTGCAGATAGGGAGGCCGGGGCATGGGCTGCAGGGTCTCTGTGCGGCTGGGCTGTCTCACCGTCGAGCGGCTCTGCTGCCATCTGGTGGCTACTGCAGGCGTGTCACTGTAACCAGGCTGGGTGAGAGCAGGGGCGTGCACAGGAATTAAAATGTGGCTGCTTTTGGAGGGGCACAAAAGTGGGGGGCCAAGGCCCCCCCCTTCTGCCCAAGACCCCGACCCTGGCCAAGCCAGAAGCTGGAGCAGGCCGGGAGCTGCGGACCCTCCACCTGCCCAGGGAATAACTGTGTCACTATGCAGTTTGGACTCTCAAGGGCAAGGTTTTCTAGGCATAAGCAAGAGACCCCCAGTGTTTTGCCGGAGTTACCCCGAAGGGACACACAGAGTTTGCTTATTATAGAAACTCCTATTGCCTTTTGTGTGTTTGCGTTTCCCCGCTTTAACCTTGTAAATAACTCGTTTCCTTTTCCTAGTTAATAAATCCTAATTAATCCTGGTTAATTCACCCTAGTTAATAAATCTTCCGATTGTTTACTATGGGATTGGCTACAAGCGCTGTCTGTAGGGGAGCTCTACGGTGCAGCTGACCTGGGGAAGTGACTGGCCCTTTGGGCTGGGGAGTGACCTGAGTGTTGCTGTGATTTTTGGTGTAAGAGGCACCTCTCGCAAAGGCAGGTGTGCGTAGGCGGCAAGAGAGACGGGTGCCCCGGGGAGTGTCTGACCCCATGGTCAGGCTGTTACCGCGCCTGAGGATTTCACACGGCTGGTGGATCTAAGTACAGAACTCACAGCCTGTGTGCACTTTGTGCCCTGCCCCGAGGGTGGCACTGTGCTCTGCCCCCCGCAGGACAGCTTGGCCTGTGCATTGCTGTGTGTTACTGCAGAGCCGGCCCTGCGCAAGCAGCCAGTGCTCTGTGCAGCAACTTGGGCGCGGGGGCCCTACGAGGGGCTCAGACAATCTGAACAAAGCGGCAGCTGTGCCCCTTGGGGTGCTGCCATCCTCCCAGCCCTCCCTGCCCTCTCGCCTTGCTGCACGTAGCTCTGAGTGTTGTGCCTGGTCCTGCCCCGGCAGCTAGCCGGGTGCTGCGGGCACCGCTCGGGCGGGCACCGCTCGGGCAGCCATCACAGCGCCCCAGGAGTGCAGGCCACGGGCAGGATGGGGCGGGAGCCTGGGAAGGACGGAGGGGTCAGAGTCGGCAGTCAGCTGAACAGGAGTCCTGGGCCATGCTGAGGCACACGGGGCCAGTGCGATCCGGGATGTGTGCGCAGGAGCAGGGTGGGATTGGTACCTCTGCGCATTCATGCATCCAGCACAGCTGCGAGCTGGGGAACGGTTGGCTCGGCGGTAGCCAGCGGGAATGGATCTGGGGGTTCTAGTGGCTCACAAATGGAATATGACCCAACGTGATGTAGCTGTGAACATGGTTCCTGTCGTTCTGGGGCGTATTAACGGGAGTGTCGTGTGTATGACATGGGAGGTCGTTGTCCTGCTCTGCTCAGCACGGGTGAGGCCCCAGCTGGAGTCCTGGGTCCAGTTCTGGGCACTGCGCTTCAGGAAAGATGTGCACAAACTGGAGAGAGGCCAGAGGAGAGCGACAAAATGATGGAAGGTTGGAAAACCGGACTCTGAGGGAAGGTGAAAAGAGGGGGCGTTTAGTCTGGAGAACAGAGGGCTGAGGACAGCCTGCGGATACCCTAAGGCTGTTACACCGAGGGCGGGGGTCAGTTGTTCTCCATGTGCACGGGAGGCTCGGTGAGCAAAGAGACTGAGGTTCCATCTTAGGACACCCTTAGGACACCCTGTCTAGCTCCAAGGGTAGAGAGGAAAGGGAGGGGAGCACAGTGGTCAGGCCCTGGCCTTGGCCTGGGAGACCAGGGCTTGATTCCCTGCTCCACCAGACTCCCTGTGTGACCTGGGGCAAGTCACTTGGTTCCTCTGTGACTCAGTTCCCCATTGGTGCCATGGGGATACCAGCCCTGCCCAGCCACTTGGGGTGGGGCTGGGCTGATGTGCGGGTGTAGCCAGGGAGGCACAGGGGTGTAGCTGGGCCCGTGGGAGGCCGTAGCCAGCGGTGGTGCGGGGGTGTCGTGCCCGTGGGAAGCTGTAGCCAGCGGGTGCGTAGCCAGGCCCGTGGGAGGCCGTAGCCAGCGGCGGCGCGGGGACAGAGACGTGGAAAACTCGGAGATCTGCTGGTGAAAAGCGCTGGGTAGAAAGGGGAGTTGTTACTGATAAGCACCCAGCCGGGGCTGGGGGTTTCTGAGAACGGGTTGGACAAGCCCCTGTCAGGGAGGGTCTCGGTAACGGTCGGCCCTGCCTGAGCGCAGGGGGCTGGACTTGGTGAGCTCTCGAGGTCCCTTCCAGCGTGTGATCCCGTGGCTGGGGAGAGCCGTGCTGGAGCGCTGTCGGGGCTGGGCCCACATTTCAAAGGGGTGCTGAATAAGGGGAGAGGGTGCAGAGCAGAGCCCCAGAAAGGATCTGAGGGCTGGAGCCTGGCGGGGAGAGGCACTCAGCCCCCGGAGGGGAGACTCGGTTAGCATGTGGGTACCGTCCTGTGGACACCAGCCGGGGGGTCAGGTAGCTGAGAGAGTCCGGACAGGACCGATGGCAGGACGTTAAAACCCAGCTAACTCAGGGACGTGTTGGGCCCAAACCCGTGGAGCGGTGGGGTCTCCATACTTGGCTGTCTCCAGAGCCAGGCGGGTACCTGCTGGAAGATGCTTGGCCAGTCCGGGCTAAGTGGGTGAGATTCCCTCCCCTGTGCGGTGCAGGAGCTCAGACGAGACGACTGAAGGGTCCCTGCGGGCCCTGAACTCTGGGTGTCTGGGGGAGAGGACGGCCAAGGCAGGACTCTGCAGCACTCCTGCCCCTGATTCCTCCAGGCTGCGGTCCCTGACTCACGCCCACCCCGGCTCGCCTGCCCTCACATCTCGAGCACCCACGGCTCCTCACAGTACCGCAGAGCCCAGCCCAGGGATCCTAGCCATGGGTGCTGGGGGCGCCATTGCACTCTACTGTTTAAATGGGGGTTCATGCCCCCCACTTGTGAGAACCCCCCTTGGCCTCTGACTGGAGCAGAGCACTTCCCTTGGCCAGCTGGATGGGCTTGGCCCCCCCCACGTTCGCAGTCCCTGGTGTGCCCCTGGGCCCAGGCAGCCGGAGAGCAAGTGTCAAGGAGGCCCGGCGTGTGGGGAGGGAAAACCCAGCTGTTCCGATTGCCCTGCCGGTCGCCGTGCTGCCAGCTCTGCCGGGATTCCTGTGGGCGGGAGTGCCAGCTCTGCACCCTGCTCCTCCCTGGGTTCAGGGCAGGCTGGCCTGTGGCTCTAGGGAGGAGCCGCTGTGGCAGCGGGGGAGCTGTGCTGGTGCTGAGGGGAGGGACGGGGGCGGGCGCGGTCTCTGGCCTCCTGCCCTCTGCTCCCTTGGCAGCGGCTGGGGTGGGTGCGGGGCCGTGGCCCCTGGCTAGGGGAGGTCTGTGTGTGCAGGGCCTGGCTCCCGTTCCAGGGCAGGATCCAGCCCCGGAGTTTGTGGCGCGCCGGCCGGCCGGGGGCCAGGTCTGGGCTTGCAGGCACAGTGTGAGCGGAGGAGCTGAGCGAAGGTGCACGGAGCCGGAGCGCTGGGGCGGCTGACAGTCTGCGCTGCCCCGGCCGGGCTGGGGCGCGTCTGGGGCATGGGGCAGGGAGAGCCCAGCAGTTGACCATGGCTGAGGGCTGGCCGTGGAGCTCCCGGCCCGGGGCTGCGTGCCCCCGCAGGGCCGTGAGCATGTGCGAGTCGCTGGACCTGCGGGGCGACCCGGCGGTGCAGGCTGCCCTCACGGCCGCCCAGCAGCAGAAGAGACGGCCCAAGAGCCTGTGCTCGGTGGGCAACGGGCTAGGCCCTGGCGCCCTGCTGCTCCCAGCGCCCCCCGCCAGAGCCCGCAGCGGCTTGCTGGACTTCTTCAGGCTGCGGCCTCCCCGCCGGCGGGAGGAGGGGGGCCTGGCTCATGGGGCAGATGGGGCGCAGCGCCTGCGCCCAGCCAGCATGACCTGCCTGCCCTCGGGGCGGCAGCCGCCCGCTGCCGAGGCCTCGGGCTTCCTGCGGGGCAGCTCCCTGTGGGGCAGCGGGCGTTGGAACATCTTCCGGGGCAGTGGCCGCAGCAGCCCCGGCCCCAGGAGGAACTTCAGCTCCCTGCGCAAGAGCTTCAGCTTCCGCCTGCGGCGCGGCCAGGAGCTGCGGCGCTCGGAGTCGGGGGGGCTGCTGCGCCCGCCGCGCCTCCGCACCAAGAGCGAGGGCGACGCCAGCTCCCTGCACACCTGCCCCAGCAAGCGGGACCTGCTGTACCCGGAGTTCGGGCGAGCCGGCGGGAAGCCGTGCTCAGGCTCCGGCCAGGCCGGCGGCCTCTGGAAACTCCTCACCGGCCGCTTCCGCAGGCGGGACCGGGGCAGCGCTGCTCCCCAGGAGTCCCCCCGAGGCGCCGAGCCCCTCCTTGTGGCCGTGGGGGGCAGCCCGCTGCGAGCATTGGGTAAGTGCTGCCCGCCTCCGGTGCCGTGGGGAGGAGCCTAGGCTGCTGGGGAGGGGCAGGTGGGCTGGGCAGCTGGGGAGAGACGCCCTGGGCCGGGGGGCAGCGAGAGCCTGCCCCAGTGAGAGTGTGGGGCTCGGGGGTGGTGAGAGCCGTCCCCAGTGACAGCCCCGGCCTGTGGGACTGTGGGAGGGGTGGTGAGAGCGTCCCCAGTGACAGCCCCGGCCTGTGGGACTGTGGGAGGGGTGGTGAGAGCCGTCCCAGTGAGGGCCCCAGGCCATGGTCACAGTTGCTGGGGGGTGACCCATTTGGGCCCTTCTCTGCACTGGGGCTGAAATGCTGGTTCCTGTAGCCCTGGTCTCATTGCCTGGCTCTGGCGCTGCCATAATGCGGATGGGTGAGAGCGGGGGAGGGGTGTTGTGTGTGTGTGTGTGTGTGTGTGTGTGTGCGGGGGGGGGGGGGGGGCTGGGCTGGATCCCACCTCCCAAGGGGAGTCTGCGGTGCTGTCGTCACAGGTGCTGAACGAACAGCGGCTCGTTTGGTCCCCTGGGTGCTCTCCAGGGAGAGGTGCCCCACCACCCCGAGTGGTTCAGCAGGAGCGGGCAGGGCCATGTAGCTGTGGTGAGAACGGGGGGCGAAGGGCATGGAGCACAAGGCCACAGGGAGGTTCTCTGGCTCGCGCGCCGGTTGGAGGGCTCTAGCAGGTCTGGCCACACGCGCTGAATGAGGTTCCTGGGCAGTGCGCGGGCTGGGGCTGGGCCTGACACACCCAGCCTGTCTCAGAGCTTCCTTCCCCGGGCAGCGCAGGAACCGCTCTGGGCATCTCCCTGACAGGGTCTGCACTGGCCCCCTCTCCCTGGCGGCGGCTGGCTCACCCCCAGGCCCCCGCTGGGCAGACCTGTGGCAGGGCAGTGCCGTGGGCATGGGCGGACGAGGCCGTTCTCACGGCCTGCTTTTCCCTGGCCTGTTCTACACGAGTCAGACTGGACAGTCACAGGGGTCCCTTCTGGCCCGGGAATCTGACACTCCCCCTCGTCGCCTGTGGGGCCCTGGCAATGAACGACCACAAGGTCTGTGTGGACAGAAGCAGGTGCTGTCACTCGCCGTCTGTCCCACAGCTCGCGCCGCCTTGGGCCTGCTCCTTCCTCAGAGCCTAGGGCTCCTCTGGCCTGCTGGAGCCATGGCACGGAGCAGCCCCGGTGCTGAACCCGCCCAAGGCGGCTCTGACCTGGGTCTGGGCGAGAGGCTGGCAGTGACCTGCAGCCTCGCGTGTGCCCAGCCCGGAGTGGGGGTGGGAGGGGCGCCCTGGCTGGGGTGGCGCTGGGCTAGCCGGAGGACAGGGGCTGCAGGGTGGCGCATGCTGGCAGGTGGGCAGAGGCGGGGGGTCGAGCTGCTCTCACAGATGGGTCCCCAGTGGGTCAGGGCACCACGTTCGCCAGGTGCCTGCTCGGACCCAGGACTCCTCTGGTTTCCGTCCTGCTCTCGGCTCAGAGCTGCTCTCTCCTGTTGGCGACTGACTGGGACCAGCCAGGGGGCCTCGGGCCATTTCTACTCCCTATGCTCTGGGCAACCCTGGAGCCAGCTCTGGGCCTGGGAAGCGTCACAAGAGGGAGCGGGCTAGAGCTGCCGAGCTGGGTGAGCAGCGAAGGGATGGCAGCATGGGCTGGGTCAGGCAGTCACTGGGGCTCGTATCCTGGGGGGCCCTGGTGCTGACGCCATCATCCTCTGTGCTTCTTTCACCTCCCAGGGGAGGGGCTGGCTGGGCTCTGTCGGCACAGACGAGCCCCAGTTGCCTGATGGGGCAGGTCTCCGGGCTCCCTGGGGCTGCCTCCTGGCATGTCCCCTGGCTGGAGCTGGTGGGTGCAGAGCTCAGTGCTGCTGGGCTCCGAGGCAGGAGGTTCCCAGGCTGCAGCGAGGCAGCGCTCATGGCTCAGGAATGTGGGTGCGTCCCAAACAGAGGAGGGTTTGGCCCCTTCCCTTGCAGCGGGGGACCTGTTACTACTTGCCAGCCGCCCCATGCAGGAGCTGCCTCCCAAGCACGGCTGCGGCTTGGACCAGAGCGTGTGACTGGGGAGCCGTCTGCAGCACCGAGGAACAGAGGATGAAGGAGGGAGCCCGTCTCGCTCTCTGTTAATGAGATCACCCCTTTGTTGGTAACGGTGTCGGCACAAAGACTTAGACGTCTGTAAGGCACTTGTGTTGGTCCCACGTGACATCTGGATTAAACATAGAACGATATAAAATTAACCTGGCACGCGTTCGATGGATTAAAAACTGGCTCTCAGAATGTAGCTGGGAATCATCCTGCAGCGGGTCTGTTTCTAGGGGGTCCCTCCACTGTTGAGCGTTTTTATCAGTGACCTGGAAGAAAACATAAACTCCCCACTGAGGGTTTGCAGGTGACTCACAGACTGGGGTGGGGGGGTAAGGAAGAGGACAGGGCACTGGCAGAGTGATCGGGAGCACTTGCTAAACCAGGCACTAGTATCAATATGCGTTTGAATACAGGCAATGTCAAGTCATACCTCTAGGAATAACGGCTGTGGGCCATACGTGCAGGATGGGGGACCCTATCCTGGGAATCGGACTCTGACAAGGACTTGGGGATGTTGGGGGTAGATAATCAGCTGAACATGAGCTTCCGGTGCGATGCTGTAGCTAGGGGCTAATGCAGTCCTGGGGACTCTGGGAGAGGAGAGGTGATTTTACCTCTGCCTGGCACTGGTGCGACCGCTGCTGGAATCCTGGGTCAGCACTCCCAGAAGGCTGTTGATAAATTGCAGCGGGTTCAGAGAAGAGGTCCGGGGGATGGTGATAGTGCCAGACTCACGGAGTCCAGTCTGTTTCGCTAACGAAGGGAAGGTGATCACAGTCGGTAAGTACCGACGTGGAGACCCGACAGGGCTGTTCAGTCGGTCAGACAGAGAGCTGGGCCCTGCGTGCTGGGAGGATGAATAGACTCCTGGTTGTGAGGCCGGAAGGTTTAGGCTGAGCTCCTGTGCAGGCCATAGGACTCCCCAGGATAATTCCGGTTGGAACTAGAGCTTAGCTTTACAAGGCATCCAGTCTTGATTTAAACAGTGCCAGTAACGGAGAAACCACCACAACCCTTGGTTAGCTGTGCAAAGCTGCCTGCTGTGTCTCGCACGTGAGCACCCACCTCAGGGCAGGGTGGCAAGGAGCCGCGCACAAACCCACCCTGGCCATGAGTTCTGTGCTTCGCAAGTGTGAACTCCTCAGGGACTGCAGCAGCCTGGCCGTGGAGTCACCGACAGTCGCCTTGGTATCCAGTCTGCCTCAGCGCCCAGCAGAGCCTGCCTGTGATAGATGGACGGGTCCCCGCAAGAGTCAGGTTACAGCCGGGTTAGTCTGTGTCAGTAAAAACAACGAGGACCTGGTGGGACCTTAGAGACGGGCATCTGATGAAGTGGGCTCTAGCCCACGAAAGCTTGTGCCCAAATAAATGTGTTAGTCTCTAAGGTGCCACCAGGACTCCTCGTTGTTTTTAGCACTATTCAGGTCGAAAGGGCCAGGTCAGTTGTGCCTTAGCTCTTACATCAAAAAGACAAGGCAATCCTGTAAAAAACTAGTGACAGACATGTTAACGAGGAAAAGGAAACGAGTTATTTACGAGGTTAAAGCAGGTGAACGAACACACACACACACACACACGAGTTTCAGTCTTAAGTTTCAAAAAGTAATAGAAGCGTCTAGAATCAGCAAGCCGTGTGTGACCTTTAGGGCTAGCCCAGGCTGAGCACGGGGGATCCCTTGTTTGTGCCTGGAATCCCCCCCCCCCCGCCCCGCCCCCATGCAGCACAGAGATCCAGGGGTTTTTATTCCCCTCCTCCTGTGTGCTCTGAGCTGCAAACTCAGCTGACTGGAGGAGTCCCCTTGCACGACTCGTCCTCGTGGGAATGGGGGGGGGGGGGGGGCAAAACAACAAACGTCTTTTGTCCTCCCACAATTGTGGGTCTGCTGTCGATGGCCGTTTCCTGTTGGGCAGGACGTAACGCCTCTGCTGGAGAGCAGCGCTGCGCGCTAGGTTAACGTCTCCTGTCTGGTGACGTACACTGACACGGAGGCTCACAATACAACCGCTCAGATAACACCTCACGACACGGGGTACGGCCGTTCTAAGGGAGGTTAATGCCGGTCGCAGTTTACAAGCATTCCATACAGTCTGACCACTAGCCACGTTCTGTGCTTCTGTTCTAACAATGCTAACACCCAGGTGAGCCAGCTGGAGCCCGGCTAGGTATCTGTCAGTGCTCAGTGAGACACAGGGTCCTTGGCAGGAGCTTGCACCTGGTTTGGCAGGAGCTGGCACCTGGTCTGCCAGCGTCACAAGTTGTTCCACTGGTTCATTATCCTCACTGTCCAAAGATGTACACGTTCTTTCCAGTCTGAATTCGGCTAGATTCAGCTTCCAGCCGCTGGATCGGGTCAGACCTCCCTCTGCTAGACGGAACAGCCCATTGTCAGGTGTTTGTTCCGCATGTCGGTAGCTGTAAACTGCGATCAGATCACCCAGAACCTGCTCTTTGTTCAGCTAGAGAGTGAGCTCTTCGAGCCTGTCATAAGGCAGGTTTTCCAATCCTTCTCTAAACCCCCTGCAATGTATCCACATCCTTCTTGCACTGCGGACAGCAGAACTAGACACCATATCCCAGCAGCATCGCACCTCTCTGCTCCTCCTCGAGATTCCCGCTCTTACCTCCTAGGATGGCATTAGCCCTTTTGGCCACAGTGTAGCACGGGGGGTACTCTTGTTTAGCTGATTATCTGCCATGACCCCCAAGTCCCGATTCCCAGGCTAGAGTCCCCCATCCTGTAAGCATGGCCATCATTCTTTGTTCCTGGTTGTATTATTTTACACGGGCCAGATTGAAATGCATATTGTTTAGTTGCTCCCAGTTTACCAAGTGATCCAGATCAGGCTTTGGTCTGTATCCTGTCTTCTTCATCATTTACCGCTTCTCTAATCTTTGCTTACAAACTTG